AAAAAAAAACTGCTTCGCCACGCCACTGGCTCACACTATAGGGGAAAGTGTTGTTAAATACATTGATCATACCCATGTACCAGATATCACGAAAATCAAATATAAAGAATTTGTCAATGAAGTAAAATAAGTCGCTAAGACTTCACAATTAACTACACATGCTGTTCTCGGAGTAGTTACAGCTAAAGTATGTACTCGTATTAATTTTATAATCAAAAAAATATTATTATAATATTATAATTTTTTTTAAAACTGTTTAGACTGATATTAATATTGCCAGTCAACTACCACCAATCAACCAATTAAAACGTATGGTACAACATACAAGAAAACAAATCAGTTCAGCACCACCTAATCCAGCCACATTATCTGATCTAAGTATTCCAGATGAGTATAAAAAATCTGTAAGTGATAAACCATTTTTATTATACGATAGTTTTGAGGAGAATATTGATAATAAACGAATTTTATTGTTTTCAACGTAAAAAAATTTAGAACTATTACAGAATAGTTATTATTGGTTTGCCGATGGCACATTTTCGTGCACTCCAAAATAATTTACTCAACTTTATACGATTCATAACATTATATAATGCAAATGTGATACCATTAGTTTACGTTCTTTTGCCCGATAAGTCTGAAGATACATATCGCCGAATGTTTGTTGCATTAAATTCGATTAAATCTAATCTTAATCCAAAACATTTCATGTTAGATTTTGAAAAGGCCGCCATGAATGCTGTAGTACATGTTTACTCTGAAACACAGGTTAAGGGTTGTTTTTTCATTTGGGTCAATCTTTTTGGCGTCATATCCAAAGTTTGGGACTTCAGAAAAAATATTCAGAAGATCCAGAATTTTCATTATGCTTACGTAACGATGCTTTAGCTTATGTCCCAGAAAATAAAGTTATTGATTCTTTTGAATCATTAATTAGTACAGATTTTTACGAAAAAAATCAAAACTCATTAACTGAACTCCTAAATTATTTTGAAGATATGTACATCGATAGACCGAACAGAAGGGGTCATAGAAGACCTGCATTATTTGATATAGTATTTGGAATTGTTATGAATTTATCTAAAAAGACATTTCACGCACAAACAATGCAATAGAAGGTTGGCATAACCGTTTTAATTCTATGTTGAATGCAGTTCACCCGTCCATATGGACATTTATTAATTCATTAAAAAAAGAAGACAATTTAAATAAATTGAAAGTCGAACAAGCAATTGCTGGATATTCACTTACTAAAAAAAGAAAATATAAAGATTCAGTTCTACGGATTAAAAATTTGGTATTGCAATTTGAAATTAAACCTTTTGACGGATATTTAAAGGGCATCTCTGCAAATTTTCAGCTACAAATTTAGTATAATTATGACTATAATAATATGATAATAATAATTTAATAATATTGACTAGATTGTATGTACATATGTACAATATGTACATATTGATTTACACTAATTTTGATTGTATTATAATTTATTGTATTTTTCATATTAATTTTTTTTTACTGAACAGTGATTATAACATATCAGTGATTTTATAATAATTTAAAATTATGGGTTTTTTTACTTTGCGCTCTTATAATATGCGCTCTTTTTGCTTACGCGATTAAATTGCTCGCGACCAAATGACTTCGCTCTCATGACGCATGCTCATTTCACGGCGACCAAATGACGTGGAACCGTTTTAAAATGTATTCTTTTAATCAATTTAATAATTTGTGGAGTTAAATTAACGCTCCACTATACTTATTTATAGATAATTAAGTAGTGAAACTTCATCAATATTTTGGGTTCATTTTAACATTTATTGTTTTAGATTCAAAATTTCTACACATATTTATGTTGAATATTAATTAGTTTCAACCTAAATAACAAAAACATTATTTTAACTATTATTATTGTTATTTCAAAAGCAGAATAGTTTTGTTCTGAATTTCTATTGTAATTTATTTACCATAATAGTTTGATATGAAAATAACGCGTTTGTAACATTGATATCAAAACTAATACTTTAATCAATTATATTATATTAAATAATATAACGTACGGGGTCTTCGGTCCTTGTTCCGGGAAATTCGGGTAGTGAAGCTCTTGCAGCGCGCAAGTCCTCATACGGTATTAATACGGACCGATCCTGTGATTGCGCTGCAAACGAAGAAATATTCCGCGAATTATTATTCAAAACAATATGACCACCGGTCAAGTTGCGCATATAATACGACGAACTCGCCGCGACGTCGACGCGGTCGTCACCAGGTTGTGCGTATACGTTGTTGTCGCTACGGAAAACGGGCGGAATATTTCGTTGATTTAGATACGCGTACGTTGAATCATTTGTGCCTACCGGAGGGCGTATCGGTTCGCTTTGCGCATGGTGTTGGGTGGATACATCGGGTTCGTCTCCCTGCGAGTTTTGAAGAAGTCGTTAAGAAGTCGTGTCAAACTTGCTTCCAACGTCGCTATGCGTGATTCGAATGCGGCCCGTTTGGCGTCTCGACCTATTGATTCACGTAGCGGTAAAAGTCGCGCCGCTGTGGACGAAAAAATATTGTCCTGCGTTGAGGTGTCGAGTGGGTTTGATGTCGACTGTAAACGATTATGTACAAAGTCGCCACTTAACAAACTGGCGTTCGTAGACGGTGCAACGACTAATCCCGTCGTCATATCGCCCTATACATGGTCGTCATCGGAAACGGTCGTGAAAAGTACCCTCGATAGGTCGGCACCGATTGAACGAAATTGTTCGGCTAGTCCCGGATGACGGTATTTGTCTAACTTCGCACTCGTAAAGGAACTCTTTCATCGTTAGTTGATCAATGTTTTTGTTCAACATAGTGTAAAAAATAAACAATTCTAATTACAACTATTCGATTTAATAAACAATCGATTGTAGTATGCGTAGAGGTAGAAGTAGCTAACACGTCACTAACAAGACTTTTGAAAAAAAAAGAAGATCGAATAATTGAAAACAACAATCGAAATCAAAAAAAAACAAACTGTTTATCACGCAGCTGTTGTTGTTTTGATCGTGTAGCCCGCTGATACACCGTCGAAAATGATAATAGATATTACCGCGCCGTATGATAATTTATGAAAATCACGTAATACAAGCGACGGCGACGGCGGCGACAACGAAATCTGCGTTGCGCGTGTAGAGCTACAAGGTCGCGGTTCGTGTGTGTCGATCTATTATCGGCAGGCCGACACCGAGTGGTAGAGTTACGGTGGGGGCTTGGGTCAGTTCTCCTCATTGATAAGAGATAAAAATGATAAGAAAATATTTTATAATGAAACACCAACTGTTCGGAATCAAAATTTTTACTGCTAGGAATTTAACGCCAAAGAATAAGGCTATACTGTGTTTATGTAATTTATATATTTAACGGTTTACTGATTACATTTTAAAATTATAAATCATTGTCACTTTGATTATTGTTTAAGACTATCACCTGCGATTATTTCATGAAAAAACTTTCAGCAATTATATTTAATAATAATCTTATAATAATAATTACTTAGTTTTGACTTATATGTACCATTCTTGAGGGATGCAATCAGTGAAAGAGATCTTGATCATACAATTACAACATCGTCAGTTCTAAGCATTTATAACAGTGAAATAATTAGGTAAGTTTACTTTCATTGTATAATCATTGTTATGTGTATGCAATTGTCAGAGTTATAAAATTATAACTCAAATGAATCTAATTATTTTAATACACTTCTATTTTACTAGATATGTTAGGATTTAAAGATATTAAATTTTAATGATGTTTTCTTATAGCATGTTTTTATACAGAATCAAAATTTAGGACAATTTTCTATGATTAGATTAATTTAATTTTTGTTATGTTTTATAATACTATTAAAATCATTATTTTATTATTAATATATTTATTTGCTAACAATTGACTAACAGTGTTCTTTAAATTGTAATTTGTAATTGAACTGTAATTTTGGTAGACATTAAGAAGCAACCACAAAGTATACGTGCATCCAGTCCTCAGAAAGGTTGAAAAAGATGAAAAGGTTGCTGAGACCAAAAACACCGCAAACCATCCATATTACAAATTATATCCTCAACATTTTTTCAACAAGAACTGATTGTGAATGATATTAGGGTAGCAGTTGTTTTTGCCAACATTGATGCGATCTATAGATATCGCGAAGAGTTAACTTCAGTTGAGCTGGTTGGAGTAGATGCTACATATAAAACTGTTCCTCAAGTGCCAGGGAACTTACGATCTTTCCTAACATTTCAAGTACTCTACAAAGATGTTGTAAGCAAAACCTTCTGGTTATAATACTGTTAATATACAGTTAAGATATGATTTAATACGTTTTATTTTTCATTTAGGCATTTCCAATGGTCTATGCCCTTTTGAGGAGTGAAACAAAAGAAACTTACTCTTCATTATTAACAGTAATACGCAATATTTTACCTCTTCGTTATAATAGAATCAGTTTTGTCACTGATTATGAACGAGCTCTTATGAATGCTATCAGGGAAATATTTCCAAATAGTCAATTAGTATCTTGTTGGTTTCATTATACAAAGGTAAATAACATTTTATTATGATAATACTTTCCAGATAAACTAATATGTATTTTAGATATTTTATTTTGGATATAATATTACATATAATTTATTTTTATTATCCAATATTTTCTCTATTTGCTTTAACTGCGCTATTGCCTTGACATGCTTAATCTGGTGTTGAGTAGTTTTGATAATTATTACTTCAAATACTATTATTCATTGTTTATGAATGTATTGTTATAAATCTCAATTGTATGTCTAATATGTATGCTTAATTAATTGTATGTTAGTCATACTTGCATGATAATAAAATGTTTTTTAGTTGTTAACCCTAAAATATACTATAGTGGTTTTCAGCAAAAGTGGCCCTCGACAGTGGCGCAACTAGTGACACTATTTCACAAAACCAGTGGTTCTCCACATTTGCAGGTCAACAACAGGTGGCCAAATAAAAATATTGTCACTGTATATTTTACCTACCCATAGTTCTTTATGTTTTTTTATTTCATGTAATAAAAATTTAAAATACTTGTTTTTCCATGGTTACAGTCGCTCCACGTCATAATATAATGTCCCGTTCCATGATAGTTGTGTATACCCATAGTCTACAATCTACACCTTCTGTTTACATTTCATATGACGTAGTCACGTGTTGATATCGTTTTCGCGCACTTTATATTTTTCAAATACCGTCGAGAATTTGTTTATTTTTTTTAAAAAAATGTCTTTACATTCTGATATACATTCACAGACGAAAAATACTATTTACAATGTGTATAAATATTTTAAAAAACTATCGATGGACTCGTCTAATCCGGAGATAGCCACTTTCTTTAAACAGACACAAACAAAAACTGCCGAAGCATGTGGTGTAAGTGAAAAAACAGTGAAACGTATCACCGTGGAAGGAAATAAATCGTCTTCTGCATCCCAGGCTGATTGCCCAAAATTCACTTCCCCACGAAAGACTTACAAAAGGGCAAAGATTGCAAGTGAAGTTGATGGTTTTGATGCGGATATTGTAAGAAGAATCGTTCACGAAATTTACGATAGACGTGAGTACCCTACTACATTAAAAATTCTAGCTGAGTATCAAAAAAGAACTGAATACAAAGGTTCTGTTACTTCTATGTGGCGTATTTTAAAAAGTCTAAATTTTAAATATAAAAAATGCAATGACGGGCGTCGGTTCTTGATGGAGCGAAATGACATAGTTGCTATGCGTGTAAAATTTTTGCGTACTATAGTCAATCTTCGCAAAAATAATGATACTCGGCCTGTCATCTATTTAGATGAGACGTGGGTCAATCAGAATTACACAAAAGGGTATATTTGGCAAAATGAATTAAATTCGGAAGGGCTCAAAGTACCTACAGGGAAAGGAAGTAGACTAATCATTTGCCACGCGGGATCTAGTTCATTTGGATTTGTACCTGGATCCAAGTTAGTTTTTCGATACCAAAGTAGTAATTCTGTTGATTTTCACACACAAATGAACTCGTCGATTTTTAAAGAGTGGTTTATAAAAATGTTACAACATTTAGAGGAACCATCTATAATTGTTATGGATAATGCTTCGTACCATTCAGTTCTATTAGAAAACTATCCAAAGGCAAATGAAAAAAAAGCAAACGTCCAAAAATGGCTTTCTGAGAAAGGGGTTGAATATTCACCACTAGAGACATTAAGTGAATTACGTGAAAGGGTAAAACTATTGGTACCAAGACAAAAAGTATACGAGCTTGATCAAATTGCATTGGAAATGGGACATGAAGTCTTGCGTCTCCCCCCTTATCATTGCCAATACAACCCTATAGAGCTGATATGGGCACAAGTGAAAAGTGAAGTAGCCTCAAAGAATGTGATATATAAAATTTCTGACGTGGAAAAATTAGTCAACGAAGCATTGGATGCCGTAACTGTAGATAATTGGAAGAAGTGTGTGAGTCATTGCGAAAAATTGCAAGACGAAGATTTTATCAAGGAAGGTCTACGTGACGAAATTTTAGAATCAATTATATTGACCATTAATCCAAACGAAGATTCCGAATATTCCACAGATGATGACGATATGGATTGTTGAAAAAAAATTGTTATTTGTTTGTTCAATATTTTAATATAATTATGTAATAATATGTATATATTTTTTTAATGTAAGTAATATTAATTAGTTGTATTTGTATTTGTAAATAAGTAAAAATTGTGGTACTAAATTAGCAGAATTCTTCTTGATTTATATTAGGAAGTATTGCACTTAAATTACAGCATTTAATTAATTATATAATATACAAAAGAGTAATTAATTTAAATTTTCCGCGCTTTGTTTGCGCCTGTTTAGTAAACCCTACGTAAAAACATCCACCAGGCGCGGTAACGTCGAGGGCCACTTTTGCTGAAAACCACTATAATATTTTAATTTTTTTCAACCGAAAAGCAGATTGTTGATTGTTGAGAATCAGATCTTTATAGAATTTTAACAGTGCAAAGATGGCTTTAAAGTAATTATTTGATTTTTTTTTTTTTCATACATATAATTAGTTTTTTGTGTTTCAATTATGGTTCATTTCTTTAAATTGTATGTACTTTACTAGGTTAGAAATTAAATATGCAAAAAAGAGAGGGAAAATACATCTATAATGATAAGAGAATGCGTACAGCAGCTGAATAAAAACGGTGACTTATTGATGTTTTCGAGGAGAACTGGTCACTGTAATGATGGTTATGTTCAACGACAAATCCGGCCATATCCTAATATATTATAAAATATTACAATCTTATTGTTTTTATATATTGTAAACTAATTTTATTATTGTTTTTTAACCTTGTAATTGTACAAATAATTATTGTTAAATCAAGTTGACTATTATACACATGTTTTTTTTTT